CCCTGGCCCAGCATCCTGGGGCCCAGCGGGGCCGGCAGCGGGGGCAGCTGGGAGGTGCGCTGACCCGGCCCTTGGGGAGCCCAAGCCGGCGCTGCTCTGCCCTGCCCCTGCCGGGTGGACACAGCTCACAGCGCCCCAGCCCCCAGCATCCCACTCGCCGACCCCCACAGGGCCCCCCTTCCCCACCCCATTTATTTCCCACGGGGGTCTGGAGCGAGTTAGCGGCTCCCGGTGAACTCGGACCACAGACGGCGGGGCCTGGTCAGCCCGACTCCGGGGGGGACGGGGCGGCGCTCGAGACCCGTCCAGGGCGGGTCCCAGCAGAGCCTCAGTGGGGGGAGCTGGAGACCCCTGCGGCCGTCCAGGCCGGAGACGTGTGCACAGCCCTGCTGGCCTCACACTGGCTAGGCGGAAGCCCCAAGGCGCCCTACGCCCCCCAGGGTGGCGCGAGACGCTCAGCGCGCAGGGTGGCCGGCCAGAGCAGGGTCCTCGCCGGTGCCCCGGGCCGCGAGCTCGCCCCGTCGGACCTCCGCCGGGCACCGCACCGAGACCCGGGCGGCCCACAGCCCCCATGCCCGGGACTCCCAGTCCAGCCCGTAAGCTGCAGCGAGGCCCGGGCTGCGGGGTGCGCTCTGGCCTGGACACCAAGTCCTGCAGGACTGCTTCCGGCAAACACTGCGGGTGTTGGGGACAGGCTAGAGGGGTGGGGGGTGCTGGGGGATGCTGGGAGGTGGTGGGGGTGCAGCGGGTGCCAGGACCAGCCCCAGAGGCCCGCCAGCCGCTGCCTCCATGCTGCTGAAGCCCTGAAGTGAACGCGGGACCCGCCCGCGGCCGGCGCTGGAGCGCGAGCCCCGCTGACCCAGCCCCTCTGCCCTGGGCGCTTTACCTGTAGATGACGCTGTTGACGGAGAAGGAGCGGCCGTCGAAGGAGTTGGCCACCACCAGGAAGTAGTCCTCGCCCACCGCGAAGAACTCCCAGTCCAGCGCGCTGCGGGGGCGGCGCCGTGAGCAGCGGCC